GTCCTCGCCCCTGCTGGGGGGGGGGGGAGCCCCTGGGTTGGCGCTGAGCCCCCTCTGTTGTAGTGTCTCCAGGTGGGTGCTGGCCCGGTGAGTGCTGCAAGGACCAGAGGGTCAGGCAGGGTGGGGGAATGTGGCAGGGCTCCCCATGTGCCCCGTGCTGACCTGGCCTTCCTCCTCCAGCCCCGGCAGGATGGACACAGATGCAGGGAGTTCCCCTGCGTGAGCAGAGGGTCAGCATGGGGGTCCCGACTATCCCAGTGTCGCCCAGTCCACCCAGTGCCTCCCTATAACTCCCACAGTCCTGGCTTCCCCCGGCTTCACCCTAGTACCTACTCCCACTGCCCTCCCGGTTGCCCTCCCCAGGGCCCCGCAACGTCCCAAGTGGGTCCCAGTATCTCTCTATTGCTCCACCATGATATGCCCCACCCCAGCACACACTCCCAGTGCCCCCCAGTACCCTCCAGTGGCACACAATGGCCCCCACTATACCCACACAGCATCCAAAGATTCTACCCAGTGCCTCCCAGTATATCTCCACTGGCACCCAGTGGGTCCTTATATCCGACCCAAGGACTCCTAGCATCCCCCCACCAGGATCCAGTATTCCTCAATATCCCCCAGTAAGTCCCGCTAAGCTGCTGTTCAGTGGCTGGGATGTCCCTGTTGCAGCACCAGGCAGGGTGGGGGGCCATGGGGGGAAGCCCCTTCTCACCTGCCTGCCTGCTGAAGTGCTGCTGAGTGCCCCAGCCTCCCTGGCCAGCCCCATGCTGGGGGCTCTTTGTGCTGAGGAGCCCACAAAGGGACGGTGTCTCCCTGCTGAGCCCTTTGGCCCACCAGCAGCCCTGCTTGAAGGGGGGCCATGAGGTGGGGCACCCCAATGCACCCCCACCGGGTCTGGAGCTGCCCAGCTCAGCCAGATGGGGCAAAGGGGGCTCTAAGGCACTTGGGGTGCCCTTGCGGAGGCTGGGAGGCGCAGGCGGGCTGGGGGAGCCTCCAGCACTGGGACCCAATGGTGTCGCTGACTTCGCAGGGTAACTAAACCTGGGGCCCAGCTGTCGGGGGGGCAGCGAGGGTCAGCAAACCCCTTCATGTGTCTGCCACGTCCCTCCTTATCCCACATAACCTCCTTCTTGCCCAGCCCAGCCCTGTACCCTCCCTGCACTCCTGAGTTCATCTGTTCCCTTTCTGTTTCCCCATCACCCCTAGGACCCCTAGGTCATACGAACACCTCCAAGGCTCCAAAGTCCCCCATCCTCCCAACACCCCCCCCCCGACTCCACGTGGGCCCCAAGCCTATCCCTTATCCC